TAAGCTAAATGATATGATTGTCATGGCTGCAACGATGATCTCAAAGTTCGGGGTTGCCTCGCCAAGATACAAATCATTTCGTTAAATCTTCGTTATTAGCATTGGTAAATACACATTGATGTCGTCACAGCCTCATTAGAGATGCATCATACTCTACTTATATATAAAAGCCCATAAGAAATTTTTTCCAATTTCATTCATGTTTTTCCTGCCATAATTATGCATCGAATGGATGAGAATAGTTTGCTACACGTGGCAGCAGCGTATGAGATCTCTATCTATAAAGACATACAATCAATTCTGGACAAAAGATTATTGTCCCACATCAGGAATTCCAGTACATGCTGTCTCCAAAGAGTCAGTCCAAGCCAAGTAGTTCACTGATCAAATGACAAAAGAACTGCAATAGCAATGGATATCACGCGTGGATATGTGAAGCAGTGAAAAATTTCTTTAGGCTCAGAATTTTTTCCATTGATACACATGGATATGTGATTGCCATGGCTGCAAACCGATTGTAATCTAAATGTTGCCTCGCCAAGATACGAATCACAAATTCGACATATTTAAAATCCGTTTATAATTTCTATATAAAAAAAGAACTATCGTTGAGGCTCGGATTATTTTCCATTGCTATCTAAACGATATGATTGTCATGGCTGCAACGATGATCTCAAAGTTCGAGGTTGCCTCGCCAAGATACGAATCATTTCGTTAAATCTTTGTTATTAGCATTGGAAGATACACAGTGATATCGTCACAGCCTCTTTGGAGATACATTATTTTCCTTTTCAATTTTGAAATCAACTGCGGCTAAAAAGAGGCTCAGACTTTTCAAATTTATTTACTCATCACAATGGAAAGGAAGCAAAAATGCCATGGCTGCTTTGGTACCCACCAAGCCACGCCAAGATACGTTTTATTTCCTTTATTTCACATTTACGTGAAACGTATAAAAATTGCATCACAGCCTCTGTTTACTGAAAGTATTGCACCTGCAAATGTGTAATATATCACAGCTGCAAAGGAAAGATAAATCACATAATTACGAGACATACAGTGAACATGGTCATTGTACTACACTGCAAATACCTATTACAGGTGCATAAAACCAACCAAGTCAGTACTAAGAAGGGAAACCAGCGTATATTATGCCATTCAAGCCATAGTACTCAGACCAACAAAGTCCGTCCTGAGAACCCAACGCATTCCATTGTCAGTATAAATACCACTCCAGTGCATAACACTACCCACCCTTCCCCAAAATTCCTTCAATACACTGGTTTATTAATAATCAGCATTATACTTTACTAAAATGCCTGCCCTTTGGATGAGATTGATGGATTTAAAACCATCTACTTTTCGTGCCAATCTTAAATTAAGATTAGTTTGCTCTTACGACTTGATATCCTACAGAAATGCTGGAGAAGTTTATGCACGGGAGTGTATTTTTCACGACAATGAGGTACTTTTTTTCAAAACTTTTCAGCTAGCCAGTTTTCAAATTGATATTAATTATTTTATAAAAAATTTCAGGGGAACCACATTCTTGGAGTCTATCAAAAGGAGGAAATAGCATTGTTTTGATCAACGCTCAAAGAGGGGAATTTATATCGAATAAGTAATCCGGCAGTTCTATCAAACAACAGGCCTCACATTGTTTCAAGCAAATTTATACCGAGATGTTTGATGAACAATTCCCCAAGCATTTTTTCAATTTCAAACCATTTGGGGAGATAAATGCTTTGAAAAATATTGAAAATGTTCCAATGTTTGGTAATTACTTTACTCATTTTTCATACATAAATTCCTTGAGATCATTTGTCTATTTTAAAAATCTTAATACGATTTAATATTTTTACTTGAATAGATGTAATAGGCGCAATGTTTGTTAATGACCCTCCAATCACCAAACCAGTTATGGGAAAAGAAACCCTAATTATGGAGATTATATTAGAGGATTTAGAGTAAGTACATCATATCAGTCATTATCCCTTATTATAGTATGTATATTATACCAATATAATTGTGTATTACACTATAAATGGTTATAGGGGCACAAGAATTGCATGCACTTTGTGGGGCAGATATGCTTCAAATCTCATGAAATTTGTGGAAAAATTGCCAAAGCAACCCGTCATAGCTGTAATCCAGTTTTGCAAAGCAGGGATATATAATGGTAAAGAATTTCTTTAAAATGTAATTTAAAACAAAACAATACTGCTTCTAAATTTTTTCAATTTTTCAATACGGGAATAATATTCCAAATATATGGAAATTTAATACTTTTTATATTAAAAGAGTAATTCTGTGTAATTACTTGGAATTCTGAAAATTTGACTATGCAATTTTCATTTTCTCAGGCAACATTAAGGCTTCCACTTACTACGATGTTTCTAAGATGTTGCTTGATGAGAACATTCAAGAGATTAACACCTTCAGAGAGAGGTAATTTAAAAAATACTTTGGTCTTTGAAAAAAAATAACAATTTTCAAAAACTATTTAGAATTGTTTCTTATTGGCAAACCAGATACATTGCAACAAGATGTATTTCCAATCAGTCTTTATCCTTGAGTGTCTCTACGATAACATTTCAAAGTACTCCAATGACAATCAAGCTCAGAACGATAGAGGAAGTTATTGAAAGGAAAGAGGTAAAGTACATATTTTGAAAATTTTAATTATCTCATCAAACATTACATCCTACATATCTCTTTTTACAGCAAGGGCGTGTTTGGATTTCTTGCTCTATTGCGGGAATAGAAAACTCAGGTTCCTGGTTTTACAGCTCCTGTAAGGGATGCCCTAAGAAAAAATTGCCAGAGGACAGTTTGAACTTTTGTGGTGTGTGTAAATCCCAAGGTGTGGTTTTGAGGTAAATATAATATTTTGCATCTTTTAACACTTTAATAAATATTTTTCTTATAAATTTTTGTACTTATAAATTACTTATATTTTCTAAATGTAAATTAGATACCGTTTAAAAGTCCATGTAGTGGATGACACTGGCAATTTATCATTGGTGTTATGGGATAAGCATTGTATAAGGATACTTGGAAGGAGAGCTGAGGAGAAAGAAGGTGAATTGCCAATTGAAATTGAGGAACTTGTAGAGAGGAAAATGATGTTTGAAATTGAAGTATCAAAATCTCAAGATTCACTCTATGAAGACAGTTTTAGTGTGTCTCAGGTCTCTACAGATCCAACTTTTATTGAAAAACACTCCCGTGAGACACCATCTACCCAAGAGTCAGTATCCCAGCCAAAACTTAAGATGGCAGATTTTGGGGTTGAAGAGAATGTTGATTCAATAGCTGATAAGGTTTAAATAAAGTTAACCACTTTGTTTAGTTCATATTTCTTAATTTATTAAAAAAACTGAAAGCACTTAAAATGCAGGGTGAAACCAGTGTGAAAAGAGACGTCATTATTGACGTAGAGGGCCTGGAAGTCTTGGAGTGTGATGACAAAAACAAATTGAAGAGGGATCTTTTCCATGATTTTGAAATAGGAGAGCAAGAGCAATTGAAAAGGCCAAAAAAGACTATCAAAGTTGAAAAGGAATGAGAGAGAATGATTTTAGAAATATTTTTCCCAATTCCTGTTTTTTCAATGTCTTGAGTGTGCTAAATAAGTGCTCTTGCACGGACTGTTTTACCATTCCCCCTTTCTTGAATGTCATTTAGTTTGATTTCAATCAGCTCTTAAAATAGAAGTCTATATTCATTTATTTAAATTACATATCTATTAGTACAAAAGCTGAACATATACCTCGCTAAACTTACCCAGACCCAACAACCCGGCACTGAACCGATACAAACCCACATCGATACAAACCCAAACCGATGAAAATCCAGACCGATACAAACCTAAAGCGAACCCAAACCGCAACCGAACCAAAACCGAAAATCAATCAAACAAAAAAAACCCGGAACCGAACTGACTATAACCGAACTGACCCGAACCGATTATAACATATATCCGTAAAAGACCCAAACCGGAACCGAACCAATTGACCCGATTGCCATGTCTAACTGAACATCCGTGAACTATAATAACAACAATATAAATTATTTCGTGTTAGGTTTACAATTTCACGAAGAACCCAAGCGGTGGTTCTATAACACTGAATATGAGAAGTGCAGTTATGGTGAAAAAGTAGAGATCATATTATAAAAGCCTAAATAATGGAAGAGGAGGGATCTTTGATGTTTGAAGTTTTACATTTTGATAAAATGTAAAAAAAAGTGTGCATGAAATAAAAAAAAACGTGAGTTTTAAAGTTGACCATGGAAAGTGACATGAAAAAACATCCATACGTGGCATGGTACAATATATAAAAAGTGTAGTTTCTAAATTGTAGTGTATGAAAAAATATGTGACAAGTTAACGCAGTGCATGCAAATATTGATTAAGTTCAAAGGAATTTGAAGATTGTATTTATTTAAACTTATTAAAATTTCTTTTTTAAGTTTAAAGTAATGAACTCTACTGACTTTAGAAAGAGTGGTTAAAGAAAATTTATAACCAAAAAAATGTTTTAAGAAAAATTACTTGGTGTAATATTTAAAAAATTTACTGAACACCCATTTTAAAACATCAAAAGTAGTTTCATGAAATTTGAAAACATTCAATGTATCAGCTTAGTGGGTATACATGAGAAGACAATTTTTTGGACTTAGTAAATGGTATTTCTCAATAGTGAATAACCCCTGGA